CGATTACTCAATGATCTTCATGCGAAACAGGGAAAACTTAGAGCTTGGCAATATAATGAAATGCGGCCCAACGTAAAGACATGTAAATTAGCTTACATGTATTTTAATCCGAAAACACATAAGGTAACTCACAAACTAACTATCTTTGAATTTTAACTAAGAACATTATATTTATTGAATCAATAGGATGGTACTCCTTTTCGACCAATCATGCATACAATTGATTCACCGACATCGAATATTTCACGACTTTTAGATCGGTTAATTCGACCCATATTTAACGAGAAAACAAAGCATACGAGTATTATTGATGGTGCACANGTCATCTCAAAGAATCGACTCAATTCTGTACTTTTGATATTAACAATTTATATACAATGCTACCACAACAACAATCACTCGATATTCTTGTCGAATTTCTTCAAACTAATGAAAAGCTACACGTACAAGGAATGGATATTGCAACTATTCGTGAATTAGCTCGTATTGTAATTGAAGAGAATGCTTTTGTCTATCGTAACAAATACTATCAACAGATTATTGGTGGTGCTATGGGATCACAATTTACACTAACTTTAGCAAATATATTTATGTGGAAATGGGAAAAAGAATCGATTTGTAAACAATTACCATCATTCGAAATTTATGGCCGGTATGTTACCTAAAACTCTTTCTATAACTTATTAGTTTTTTCTCATTGCAGATATATTGATGATATTTTCTTTACATGGAATGATTCACAAGAGAAACTAGAAGAATTACTACAAAAACTAAATGATCATCATCCAAATATTAAATTAGAGTATAAAATTGGACAAAGTCTTCCATTTCTTGATACTCTTACTAGTAACAACAATGGTGTTCTTTCAACATCTGTCTATCATAAAACAACTTCAGAACCCTACGTGGTACCATTTGAATCTGATCATCCTCGTCATATATTTCGAAATATTATTCGAGCCGCTCTTTTACGTGCTATAAGATATTCATCAACATTCGAAGCATTTAATACTGAAAGACGTAATATACGATTAATGTTATTGTTAAATCGGTAAGCAACTCGATTTAATTAAAACATCAAAAGTAAAATGAATTTGCTTTTCACAATCAATCTTTAGTTATCCATCAACATACATTGATGGTGAATTTCGAACATTTTTCAATCAATACGGTATCTATGATTCATATTCTTCCATTCTACCGATGATCACTGATGAAAGTCAATTTCTTGCAATATCTAATCGAATTGCACCGACACCTACTCCTAGACAATCACAAGTGGCTTTGGACATAGCATCGTCCAAGATTGAACATTTCGATCAAGATAACAACCAACAAAATGTCTTACCAATGAATCCAACTGTTCAAACGAAGGACAGAAATAAAAAGTTTAACAAAGCCCTCTTTCTACACTACACACATGAAAAAAGATTGAGACCCCTCAAGCGTGATATTCACGAAATTTATCAATCTACTTTCAAACACACAATCATACGTAACGTAAACCTCATAGTTGGTTATCGAAATAATCCAAAATCGAAAACCGAACTAATACGC